TCCAACCGAAAACATTCATAATCTCACATAATATGTAAACCAACCTCTAATATAAAAAAAAAACTCTTCATCATTGAGTGGGCAGAATCTCACGCATTATCAGTACCACTAAGTGGAAAAAAATAGTATGCATGGAGAGTAATGAAATTTCCTTCGGGAAGAACCGAAGCCCTTCGGCTCTTCCGGAAGAGCCGTAGGGCTTCGGTTCTGCTGACGCATTTGTAAAGTAGAGTCGGGACAGTGTGAGAGACTGGGATGCGAAATCCCAATCCAGACACTTGTTCCTCCAGAAATTCGTGAATCTTCTAAATCTTCGATATCTTCGACAGAAAGCGGAAATCTTTCTTACTTATTTTATTTTGACCTTTCCGTTCGTCAAGAAGTCCATTACTTCTCAATAAGGGAGCGCTCTGTTCAGCGGAAACGTTTACTTATGGATGCGTCTGTCAGTAGTAAACTTGAAAAGGCAAAGCCCGCAGTCTTGCGATGCTCTCGAAGAATGACTCGATGCCGGGGAAAGCGATGGCGCCTGAGAAATGGTAGGCTTGAGCTAGACTCTGCCATCTCTTGGCGGACTTCAGAACTATTGCAGTCGAAGCGATGCCGTTTTCGAAAGGAGGCCGATCGAGACGCATCGGCGGCTGTGGGACGTCTTGAAAAGACTGCATCCCTCCCGGTGATGGCATGATATCCGAACGGCAAAGTTTTTCTCTCGTGCTCTTCCCGAAATGAAGCAAAATGCCGGAGGAAAGAGAGTAAATATGAAAAATGGTGGGCTTTGACTTAACGCGGGCATCTCGAGGCCATCTCGAGGACCATCGTCACGGCCTAATACGACGGAATATCCGTGCCGCTTTCGCAGGACGGTGACGATGATGGCAATGGATGTCGGCGATGCCAAGCCACCCACTCGGGAGCAGTGAAGGCGGGCGAGGAGGGAGGCGACCGAGAGAACCGAAAATTCACAGGATTCGGCGCGACGAAGATCCCCGAGTGGGAAGGGGGAAGGACGGGGGAAAAGTAAACAGGGAAGTAAACTCGGCAATCTGTGCACTGTGGAGGATGGTACAAGTTTCCCCTAAAAATCACTTTTCCTATCGTTCTATCTTTCCTATCACAAGCCAAGGAAACCTCATGTACCTCATGTACCTCATGTACCTCATGTACCTCATGTACCTCATGTACCTCATGTACCTCATATACCTCATGTACCTCATATACCTCATGTACCTCATATACCTCATGTCCCTCATATAGGACCTTAAGGGGCAAACCCGTCTGAAGAACTTTCGTGTCGGTTCTGGAACTCGTGTCAAGTGGGCACCCCCTTCCATATTGTGCGACGCAACTAATTAAACGTCCATTGTTTCGTGCGTACGCGGGAAACCTTTTTTTTTTTTTACTGAAAGAACGAGGTGAGAAGTTGACGAGAAGTGGTTAATCAAATGATGAATAAAATCCTTGCTAGTCGTGGATCTCGATGAAAACTGCTCCGGTGAGAAACATATGGAATGATATAGGCAGAAGGGAGACGGCCCCCTAAGGCATGTTCGTGGTAGGGAGGCCTCCATTTCCATTCTACAACGCTCAGATGTCAAGATGAACGGATGAGATACCTTTGGATGAACGGATGAGGTACTTTTGGATGCCTTGATGTAACTCGACCTGATGTTCTGTTCGACTCTCAGAGTTCACGAGTTTGAGTGAAACATCCTCCTGTAGCGTCACAGCGATTTGCAAATATATTCGCATTACCTTAAAAATAGACTAAGGTTATTTCCATCGCTTCAGTTCACCATAGAAGTAGCATTGCATGATGGAAACCAGGGGTCTTAAATTTGCGGCCCACAAACACTCAATGCGACATGCGGACTATCTGGCCGTGCCTCGTGAGGCACCCTAGGGGAGTACAATCGAAGTTTATATATTCGCTTTTCACCGCTAGGTGTCAGGAGACTCTCCTTTCACTTATGTAACGTGAGTGGCATGAGTCCAGCGTAGAGCCGGTGATCCCCATCTCGTGCATTATGCAGTTAAGCACGCGCTCATCGTTTCGCCTGCTTCTCGTGCCAGCTTCGAGGAATCCGAATACGGTGTCGCGATGCACGGCCTTCGCCCCTGTGTAGGCCTAGGTCCGGGCTCGTAGAACTCTCAGTTCCATGTCGGTGTTCGTCGAATCCACACGCGTCGGGTCTTGCTGGCGCCCTTTGGGCTTTTCCCCCGTTTGCGCGATGAATGAAGTGCCCCTCGCGTCGCGGTTCCATGCTTACGAGCATGATTCTTTTGTGAGGATGGGATATGGTGTTGTGTGGTGTGATTTGAGTGGGGTGTTAATGGCTTGCGCTGGATATTGACCAGGCCCAGGCTGGCTAGCAGCGGAACTAATGGAAGGTGTAGTCAGGTAGAGCCTGTTCTAAGCTAACATTAGTCTGACGTTGACTGTCACACAGTTACAAAAATATGCCAGTAAATAAGGTTGTAGTTGGTAGGGATGAGTACTACTTTGAAGTGAGAATTGTTGAGCCCTTAATTGGTTTAGGCCTGGATGCCCTGATGACCTTGGGAGAGCCACAAATCTTTGGGGACAAAAAAAGCTTGTGCCTCGTTTTTCATGTTTTCTAGCAATTTTTCCAGGTGAAATGGAAAGAGATGAAGGGGAATTCATGTCTTATGAACAATGTGTTTCCCCAGGATTTTACTAAGTAATAAACTTACATGAGCCAATGCACAACTTTGGTCTTCCAACTGTTGAAGACAATATTAGCCTAACCTCAGGGTGAATTTCAAGCATATTTTGCTAATTATAAGTCCCTGCTTGAATTTTTACAAAGTGCTGCATGTTCATGATAGAAACTGAAGCCTTAGGAAATATTTTGTGTATAGTGCTGTCACTATTTATTGCCATTGCCATTCATTCTCCTTAAGGAAGGCATGGAGATGTTTTCCTTCTGATATTAAAAAGGCCTTTAAGTGTATTACTGCAGCTGTCAGTCACCATTATGATCTATCTATTTTAAGCCTTTAGGCCTGTTCAGCCTCATCTCGGCAGTCAAGGCTAGGTTTAGCTTCTGTCTATCCTGAGCAAATAGGTGTCATGCTTGCCTTACTTATTCCATTTGTGCGTCTCTTCCAGGGCATTTCATGTTGCTCAGGCCTGACATTAACATCAAATTGTATCAATTGTAAGTGCCTGACACAGCTCCCCAGCCAAAGAAAGAGGTTGCATCCGTAACATTCGGCTGCCCGATAGACTGCCCTATTAATGCAGGGCTGAAATTGTTACATTTCACAAGAATCATGCTTGCAAGAAGGGTCTTTCTTCCCCTGAAGACAAAACAGGTAGGCTGAGCTCATCCTTCATTGGTGTGGCATGGATACTGTAGTACTCTACTAGTCCTTATTACTTGCTGGAATGGCGCCTAATGGAAGGGCCTACATGTAGGCCCACCAGCACATGCAATAATTGAGAACATCCAGGGAGTTGGAGTCGAAGCTATCGTCTATTTCTCTGCAATGAATAACTGGGGAGTCTTGTATGTGTTGGTCCATGGTGGACGTAATGATAGGTGAAGAGCTTCTTGGCCATATAAGGAAGTGGGGAAGTATCTTCATCAGTAATTGAAGATGTCAGGGCATGAAACATACTGTTAGAGCTATGACTAAGGATGCTCTATGAGTTGGATAAGATTGAAGATTCATTTAAATCTGGTTTGTGGCCATCGTGGAATGAATAAGAAAGTTGTGCTTTCATTAGGGACAACATTTTGAAAATAAGTTTTCAAGTTTAAGTGAGGGTTAAGTTTCAAGAGATGAAGTTTAACCTTTTAACTACTGTTCTAAATCCAATGGACCCATATTAAAAAATGTAACCATTTGTGTAGACTGTGTCACAAACACAAGTTTATTAAGTATTAAGTCTTATACTTTGCTTATTTTTCATGAAGACATGTGATAGAAATTAGCAAATTAATAAATAAATTTGAAGAGATTCGTTGTGAATGAAGAGGTGAAATAAAGAGGTAAGCATGTGACCATCTGGGTTCTAATAGTTCCTGAGCTATAAGGGAAAATATCAGAAAATGTGCAACAGTGGTAATTTTTTCTGCCTGCATCTGTTCTATAGGTTTTCAACAATGGAACCCCAGAGAACAACCGATTAGTGGTGAGCTCAGCCTTCTTCCTGGCTTCCTGTGGCTTCTGCATCTCCATGTTCAGCGTGAAGCAGCTGGTGGAGACATCCACGGCTGCTGCCTCGCATCCCTTGCAGCGGTTGTTTGGATCCTCTAATCGACCTTCCATGCCCTGAACCGGACCGGAACACCAGGAAGAGAGGGAATCCCTCAGTCGGCCCTTTAATATGTTCCCGTAGTTGCTTTAGGGTATTTGCTTCCCCTCTCCTGGGTGTTTGTGGGAGAGTCATCTGCCAACATCCTGACACCGTGTGTCGTTGGCATGGCATTGTGATATCCTGTAGGTTCTTTGAATTCGTTATTATAAGGAAATAATTTCCTTGAAACTGAATGTGAGAGTCTTTCATTGTATATGCATTCATTCCAGTATTGAGTACTGGTGCACATGCATCCATCACCGTTAGGCTGCTGGTCTTGCAACTGATGCCAAGTAGCCTGCTGCTCATGTCACATCCTGCTCCAGTGAGTGGAAGCTGTGAAAGTCCTTTGGTGCACTACCTAAACCATTTCCAATAAATAGGAGGGAAGCTGGAGAACACAGAAAAAATTTGTTGTGAAGCTCAAGAACCTCCTGAATCAAATTCTTTTTTTGTTTATCCGATGTAAGTATTAGTGACTCGTACTTTTGCAAAGTCCACTCCCTTCCCAGTTTGGCATGTGCAATTTGTCAATAATGTGTATGCTGAGGAAGGTCAAAGTACAAGTCTCCCCATGGAAAAAAAAAAGGAAGGTGGCTTAATTCAGATGCTCGAGTGTCTTTTTTGTGAAGTAGGATCCTATCGTAAAGTATGGCTGGTTCATCCCAAAAGATGAGAGGCTCTATCCAAGCAGGGACATGAACTATGAGTGAAGAAGTTTTGAGATGACAGAAAGAGGAATGGTGCTGTATCAATCCAAAACCTTCAAAGGTTTTCTCTATGTCGCCCCTAGAGAATGGGAGTGAGTAATGACTTGGCATGGGTTCCTCCATAGAAGGCAAGATGTAGAAGCTACATTGTGATTAGTGCCATTTATTGGAGAAATCATTTGCATTATATGCTAATAGGTTGCTCCAAAACCTTGGGATAATGGCAAAGGACCAAATCTACCTGGGCGAAGATTTTCTGCCGACCAGACTTACTTCACCCCATCCTTGAACGCCAAGTAGGGCGAAGCTTTCAGGGCTAGAATCGCCATGCGCTTCACCCTCGTTTCAGCGAGAAATCCCGGCTGCGTCGGGAGTGCGCATGCGAGGTCGCTCCCATGGACTACCATCGGCCTTGAGAGGACTTCCACGCCATATCTCTGTTTGTGGTTTAATGATACTGAAGTCCGAAAGCACACGGTAGGACACTCCTGCTCGTTTCCTCAATGAGGCTTGTGTTGCATAACCATGTTGACAGTGTACTTGCCAGGCGATATCTCTGTCCTTGGCATTGGACGTACCGAGTTCCTGAGTTCCTGCGCCGTCTAGGTTATATTTAGACGCAGATATGCGAAGGTGCCAGGTATTGTTTTTAAAATCACCTGCCGGAAGAAATGCGGCATGTGCTGTGGTCTCGCAACTGCGGAGAAGCTGACTCAAAGATTCCGTGCTTTGAAGGTCATTTTAAAGGAAAGGATTGAACTACCGAATCACGAAATGGAAAGTGGAAGGAATTAATTCTAGTGGAAAGTCATTCGTTATAACGTGTTCCATTCTATTCAAGTGGCTTACTTATGGACTCTCAATCTCTCTGCACCTTGAACCTGAACTCAGGGCACCTGAGGAAGATTACCACAGGTAACAGGATTTTAAAATGCCGGATAATTTACGAATCATGAAAACCATCGTGTGCCTATCGCAGGGATGCACAACATTTTTCGCCCAAGGGCCAGATGCTGACTACTGGGTACTCGTCGCGGGCCGGGCATCACGGGATGCAAGACGATCTTCGATGGGACGGCATATTCTAGTGGATGGCAGTACTAGCGAAAGGCTTTTTTCAAGCTGCGGGCTGGAGGTTGTGCATTCCTGGTCTAGCGGGTCCGTATGGGCCCCGTCACCATCTTGGCAGAGGAAAATACCGTGCAGCGCGGTGGGTGTTTGTGCGACTGCGATGCCTCGTTCGTTCGGTGGTGCTGTTTCACTGCAATTACCTGGATATAGCCCAGTAATGAATTATAGCATGAGTGTTCGGATTTTGTGGAGGTCACTTCGACAGTGCTGCTGACGTCTCCGAACCAGGAAAATTCGGAGATACATAATGACCACTCCATTATCGTCGACATTGGAATGACTTGTGGTTTTGCTTGACAGGATCCAGCGTATGAAACCCTCAACTTCGGCCGTATTCGCCAGGTCTTTTAGTGTTAGCGCCACCAGGATATAAAATGGGGGAGTGGCCCACTTCAAATTTCCAGTGCATTCCTTGGTCCTCTTCGACAGAAGGAAAAAAAAAACTGACATGTATTTCTTTAGTATTCGGGGTGGGGATCGAAGAAAATGTACTGTAGCCATGACTTAACCGAATTGGTTAGACCGGGGATGTGAAACATACGGCCGCAGGCCGGATCCCGCCCCCCGTCTGTTCCTGGAATTTTCGCCTGGATTGACTCAGCACTCACCGCGCACGATCCCACGGGGTGTGGCCCGCTGACAGATTTGTGTTTGACACCCCTGGGCTAGATTGCAAGGCCAATGTGTCCCCTTGTGCACACGACCCAAACCAGCGTTATACGTGAGGATATGTTAGGTTCACCTTGTGAAACGTAGTTTATATCATTTATGGACAACTTGTCTCGGCATGGTCGCCTCTGCTAGTATTGCTGTCTTTATTTTACTCTTTGTTCTTCATAAAATAAGGATAGGAAAAGTTCAAATAAATTACTAATTCGATGATAGGTGCTTTGAAGTAAAATCTACAACTTTTATTTTGGTTTAGTGCTTTGAGCACAAAAATTTCATGCGAAGTTATAAAAAGGTAAAAACCAATTTCTGTCATTTAGATTAATAAATAAATTACGTTGTGTCGCCAAACACTCCACATCGGTCATTCCGAAAGTGCCTTTAAATTGGATCTCCCGAAATGCAAAGCCTTCTCACTATAGTTTAATGCTGGCAAACTCCAAGTAAGGGGAAAGGGCTGAAACATCCAAAAGTGATGGAAGTGGGCTCAACGCTGCCATCTCCCGGCGGGCCGGCGAACCACAGGTAAATCTCTCGGGAAACGAGAGTCGAAAACAATCGGAGCCAGAAATTCTCTATAATAATAAAAATATTCGGCAGAAGAAATTGTTAAGGTACTTTAAGACCTTGAACTATCGTATAATTTGAAACACTTCTGTTTCGAGAAAAGCCAAAACAGAACTCATTCATTCATGCTGGCAGGTCCCTCTTCAAAAGTACCTCTCAGTACTGGCGGCACTACCTCTATCGTTTGATCTCTGACAGAAACACCGTCAAAGAGAGAAGAGTCCTTCGATCCAGTGCAAACTTGCCTGTAAAATTGCATTTCCCGCTGAACTACGAAGATCTTGGCTTGAGACTGTGTCTCCCGTTAATTTGCATGATTATCAGGACTTTCAGCTTGAGTTCGAGGAAAGCAAGATTTAGATGAGATAAGGAATGAGGCCCCTCTCAGCCTCGCACTGATGGGTATGCTGTGCAAGTCCACGGGGTCGCGAAACGCGCCTTTAGCATGGGAAACAGGGCAAGACATCGCGAAATCCGAAAATGTCCTCCAAGCCAAAAATCTTTCTTTCAGTGATGGGTTTTGTGAATTCGATGTCCGGCCGTCTCACATTAGAATGTCATGAAAATCCTTTTTCCGCCACCATTATTCTTTTTTTTTCATTTAAATTCCTCACGATCCCGGTTCATCCTCGCTGCATTTCCCCCGTTCAGGTCTCTCTTAGTCAATGGACGGATATGCGGGTACTTGTAATTGATAACTTCTTTCACAACTGAGTATTTGTGAATAACTCCAACGAGTTTTTGAAGCAGACACCTTTCCTTGGGGATCTTCGACGACCGTCCTTTTTTTCCATCACCCGAGAGAAAATAACCATGATCCCCTGTGCTCTCTTCAGCTTCTGACGAAGGATTTCTGCCCAACTGGTCATCCAGTTCGATGATTTTATGTCATTGTCTCCATTCTCGAGAGATGAGGGGACCTGCTAGTCCTCCATTGGTTGAAATGAAATCGTCACACTGCCAAATGGTCAAAAATTTACGTTAGACGCCGAACGTGAGAGGTTGTGTTGGATCTTTGGCCAGATTCTCTTTTGGAACGGCATCTTTTTTTCAAGCGCCATATAGCGTTTCGATCACTATAGGAATCTAAGGAGAAGGGATGCGAGCACACACACTATATATATATATATATATATATAGAAGAAGACTGTAATGTCACCACCCATCACCCCGAAAAAGCCATTGCTCGGATAATTGCTCATTTGGCCAACTACTTGTGATATCTACGTTCTTTACTCATGTAACACCTGCCGTCTGGTATTGTCAAAGTTTTGCTTTGCGCCCAGCAGTTTATGGTATTTATGGCTTTGTAAGTTGACTGTATTGCTGTTTTTGGTCTTGGCTTTTTCGGGGTGATGGGTGGTGCGTGGGCTATAGTCCCCAGCGATGGAGGAGCAGTTGCGATTAGAGTCCTCTCTCACTTTCCTTCTTCACATGCTTTTCCCGGTTAATTACTAGGTTTTATTGGTTGTTTGCAGCATTTCGTTCAGTACTTTTGAGGGTTGGCCGCCCTCATCAGTACTTATACACTCGGCCTTCAAATGTAACAATGTTCGTTGCCGCACCTGTCCCTGTATGGTAGTCCCTTCCTTGAATTGGGAAAACGTTGGGAAGACATTCTGTTGAGTGAATTAAATATTCTAGTGTACACCAAGGACGTTGGATCGAATACAGCCAGTTTGTTCGTGGCGGGACTTGAATTCTTATTTTAACCACAGATCCCATGTAAAGTTAAATAGAACCCAAGATATAGAAATTCAACATTTTCAGAGGCATAACTTTCAAAACATTAAGATTGAAATTTTGAAAGTGGTCATTGACGATAAGGAAAGACTCTTGGCTGAGGACCAATGTATCATCGGTCACAAAACTTTATACCCTTATGGTCTCAATGACAGGTACCAGGGTATGAATGTGTCAATGCACGTCGATCAATACTGCATCTTTAAATTCCTGCAAAATTCAAGGTTAAATAGGAAAAACTATTCAAGAAGGCATAGACGCTCTCCTACAAATTGTAATCCTTACAGGAAATTTGTAGACTTTGGAGAGTTGATGAAGAAGTGGGAACGTGAATTCCTCTCCACAAATGCCATTAATAAATTAAAAATTATTCA